AAATTAAAAAAATACATGATATTTATAATCATTAGAGAAGTTCAAAGTACTCCTGGACTTTTTCAACCGTCTAAATTTCAGTTTATTTTTTTCTTCAAATTTATAAAAATATTTTAATTCATAATTCAATAAAAAAAAAAGAAAAAATCAGAATAATTTATTTAAAATGTTTTAAGATGAAAAATGATTGGAATAAATTAGCGCAGTTTGTTGATTAAGTTTAAAAATGCATTTCACTGTTGTTAACTTACATTTTTCTCCACGCTCGTAAGCATGTAACTTCACAGCTTTCTGTTAGGGAAAAGCAAAAATGAAATATACATTCGAAATCAAAATATCCTATGTTTTTATTAATGATAAATTATTAGTAAATAAGACCATTCTTTAACTGTTGGGGAAAGCTAAATTTTCAAACATTAAAAATATTCAATACTTTCTGCCTTAAGTCTATTGACAATGGGCGAGGCTCGGCATTATGTCAAAACGAGACATCGTGACCTTAACATAGCAATTTTTCTTGACCTAATTCCATCTAAATTCTAAAACTTTCACCAGAACATTATTCATCATGCTAATCCTCGAGTTCCATATCTAGTCTCCATCAAGCTTCAACAATCCCTATAGTGCTCCTCGAAGATTGAAACGGGAGTGGCCCAGAAACATTCTGTGAATATGCTACTGGAGTTCTGGCGATACCTAACTTCTCTACTCAAGCCCTCAGCTTATGAGCTTATTATGCTCTCAGTCTCCACTGGGATGTCAATACCATCGACACCGCTGAGAAAAAGCCACGAGGGTTTTCGAGAGTCCTGCTTTTCCATGCACATGTTGGGACATAGGTCGGTTCTCGCTTCCAATGGGCTGCATGTATGGAGATTGTGTTCAAGATAATTAATATACATAATTATTGCACTTAAGTTTTGTTTGCATAGATTGTTTGGTATTTGTTTTATGTATTTGTGATGCACTATATCATTCAACTCATTTCTGTTATGACGGTTTGGGAGGGAGATAGCTCAGTTCAGTAAGGCACTATGTTCCTTTGCTCCAGGTCCCGGATTCGAACTCTGCTTTGCAGGTAATTGTATAATTAATAAAGGGAGAACACAGGCGATTGAGCATGATCTCGATCAAATTGCCTCATTGTACAATCATTGAACAAGAAACAGTATAGTGAATCCAAGACCTTATTTGAGTCGTAAAGATGCAGGTTTTTTTCTACCACTAAGAATTAATTTACTACATTATTTTTGTTTGGTGTTATTTATATGCTTTTCCTTTAATCTTGTAATGACACAGGTTCTCAATAAAAGTTTTCTCCAAAGCACATCGGAACCGCAGCATCAGTTTTGGCATACCTTTCCATCAACAAATCAATAGTTATTTAATTTGACGGAATTTTATTCTAGACAAGAATATTGACTTCTTATTACCATTAATCCAAAATGATAGGTTTTAATTTCAAGAGTAATCTACCTTAGTTGATGATTAGCAATCAATACCTTGTTTATTCCACCGTTGTAGCAAGAAGGGCGGAGGCCATGAAGGACTGTTTGTGAACTTTAACCCCAAAGGAGAGAAACATAAATTAGTGGACGAAGCGATCCGCGGGAACTAAATTGCAGCCGTATTGAATGTCGGTCCTCAGCCAATAGTTATTGCTGCCTTATTGACGGGTCGGGGTCAGGGGCGTTTCGGGCCTTCCAATGCTCCAGCCCTCTGCTTTATCCTTAGTATTATCTTTTTAACTATTCATATAATTATAGTTGTGCGAAAACATAAATGTCATACCATTATGTAAAAACTTTGGGCTATATTGGTTAGCTAATTAGTAATTTATTATATACTTTTTTATAACAGTTTGTGTATTAGATTATCAGCAGATTGTCTTAACAAGTGTGGGACTCTATATAAAGAATTTAAGAACAGAATTAAGCATCCCAATACGGAATGTTTATTCCACCGTATTTCAGGTAGAAGTGTTGGCAACTTTTTCCCCTCCCCTGCCTCGCCTTTTATGGCTATACCGGGTTTTACCGGACCAGAGGATGAGGACGGGAGATTAATGCCAGAATTAAAAGCCTGGCCTCTGACCTACAATATATATATATATATATATATATATATATATTTTTTTTTTTTTTTTTTTCGGTTGACGCTCCAAACTATGAAGATCTTTGGCCGCCAAGATGTGCTATTCTTACAGGCGTATATTGCTTTTGGGAATACAGACAGCAGGGAGGGACTCACCCGTAGCTCCATAGCCGATCCATATGGCCCCATAGCCAATCTGGTAGTATCCTTCCCACCGACTCATTCGGGTTCAAGGACAGTGACAAGTTGTTCTAGATCCATGGATTATGGCTGCTCAGAGTCAGCAGGCGCACGAGGACCTATATTTCTTTCCTCGAAACAGACCGTCCATGCACCGAACCTCAGGGGGCTATTGAATCCTGGTAAGCAACATTCCGATTCCCGATTTAAGTACACGAGGTAGGGTCATTAGTCCTACACCCGGTCAGCGTGAATTGCTTCTAGTGGCCTGACGGGCCTCACATACCCCGAGGGGGAGGAGAGAATCTCGGGAAGCATGGCTTTTCCTGGTGGAGGTCACCCATCTAAGTACTAACCACGCTCGACGTTACTTAACTTATGTATGTATACATAAAACAGAATGTGCCCGATTGGCGTCAATTCTGGACCCGGACAGAATCCTAGAACAGGAAGCTTTCTCCATCAAATAAATGGCTATCCCTATTGAACTTCATGCGAATAACGAAAAGGTTATAGGTTGGCTAAATGACCACTAGTTGCCGGGAAGTTTTTTCCACCGTTAATAGTAGCCCGTTATTGAAGTCCAGTCTTCAATTATAAAAAAAATAATTCAATATATTAATAATAAAAGCGTGGAATTGTGATGGCAAATGAGCTTTCGGAGTGAGTGCCTAATCGTTTCTTTAACTTGAAACCATAAGCTCATAAGAGCTGTCTTTTAAAAAACATAAAATCAAACCGATATTCGACTAATCAGTCATGCGAGTTCCCCCGAGGTGAAGCATAACGCGTTGTTAAGTAATCGGTTGTCACCTGTTCATTAAATTGGTTCTGACAGTTCTTTCCTTCTTCTGTACAGACGTACCGGGTTTAATCTACCATTAGCAATTTTTATGTTGCAGTAAGAGGTAGTGAGTGGTGTGCGCAAACTTCCAATAATGGTTTATATAATAAATTGAAGTGGAGGAAAAAGCATCAAACGTACTAACAATAAAAAAACTATAAACATTATTGTTTTAATTTGCTTTATAAATTTGACCTTTAAGAAAGGCCGAAGGAGAAATAAAATATAATTACGAAAGGTCAATAGTATAAACTAAATAATAGGTAATATGTTCAGCCAGATGATGAAATCGCACAATAAAGTCCTCCGAGAAAGATTTAAGCATCGGGGGGAGGTTAAAGATCAATACCCACAAATCCCAGAAAATTAGCTTCTTCCTTCATCCTAAAAGCTACCATTGTCCCCCTAATCCTTTAATAATGTAACCTCCTCCATCCCCCCTCAAGTAGATCAAGCCTGTTGTTAAATATAACCTTCACTATCTTGGGCAATTGAATGTGATACCAAGAATGACACCATTCGGTAAACAACAGTCCTAAATAATATAAAAATATAATCATTACCATAATTTAGTTAAAAATAGATTGAGCATTGGGATCACAAGACTAGAAAATAATCTATTCACAATCCTTAGGTAAGAGATACCCTCATGAAAAATATTTCTTTGTAACGGGCCTAGATATTTTAAATTCTTGAAAAGAGTAGCAATGTAAATATCGAACAATATAATCGATAGTTATCAAATATATCGAAATTTTGATATTTCGGGTCATGTTGTTCGTAATATTTGAAAGAAGACCAGGATCGACATTGATTAGAAGTCTTAGATTTTCAACAGCTTAAAGAAACAGATTTAAATATTTATATTTTGTTGTCCGCTCTATTTTTTTCTGGAATTTCCTTTCTTTAAAAATCCGGCATGTTCTCTCCTTTTTCACCTTTAAAACATCGTATTCAAATTCCTATTCTTACTACAGCTACAAACCTCCTAACCACATATTAAGTAACATTTAAAAACAGTATTTTTTTTTTGTATGTACTTCTTATTTTCTAATATATATATTTTTCACACCATCTTTCTTTTGACTAAACGGCTTTATAGATACATGGAAATATAATAACAGTTGTAATTTTCTTTAATTTATTTTTTAGAGACGTGCTGCTCATTTATTAGAGGAATTTATTTTGTATTTACTGCTTTCTTTTATACTTTTATATTATGTTTAATTTCTTATTCTAATTGTATATAATTCTAGTATTTTGTAAATAGTTTCATTAGTTTAATTTTGTATATATAGTTTATTGACTTAAGGTTTTTTATCTATCTATTGATTTAATGTAACAGTTTTTCCAGCCAGATGTTATTCTTTTTTTCCCTGTAACATTCTGTTATTCTAAAGGGACTCATATTTAATATTTTTTTTCTATAAAAAAATCAAAAAAGTCTTTCTAGAAACTATAATAGAATAAATAGAATAGCTTGAACATACTTGAAAAAAATAGGAATAAATTAAAAATATTTTCATTTATTATTAAACTTCTAAATTTATTATAAAAAGCCGGACTAGTTCCCCCGCCAGTACCAGTAGTAAAAACCAGAGAAAATTGAAATAAATTACTCAAAATAAATATTACTGGAATTAATGTGGACTGAAACCAAGAATATGGAATGAATTTACATTTTCATCATAAAATGAAAAATAAAAAATAAATAAACACATATTTCCCGTCCCATATTTTATGGTATGTTTAAAATAATCTCATCTCAGATTAAGACGGCTTATCTTGTAGACATTTTCGATATTATTTTTTGGAAAAATATAAGTCTTCGATAGTAGAAAATTAAAGTAAATTATTGTACAATAAATAATATAGCACTTACTTTTTGGGGTATTCTCTCTTTGTAACTCTCCGAACGGTTGACCCCACTGCCTCTGCCGTGCTGCTTCGCTCCATGCGGAGGACTGAAATAAATAATAGCCAATAAATTATGTATAATAAATATTATATATCATAAGAAACAAATTAAATTTATTTTTAATTATTACTTGATAAAAACATCGAAAAGAAATAAACATGCTTAAATTAGGTACAACATAGCTAACTAAATTAAATTCCTAGAATTTAATTTTCACATTTTTAAAGAAAATGGCTGATTAATAGTTGAATGCATTTCCGTGAGATGGTGTTTTTTAAAATTTTATTTTAATGATTTTTCAAGAAGTGAAACCGTTTGGCAATGGAAATGGCAATATAGCACTATAGGAGAGAGTTTTCTATAACAGAGTTCCGATTCTAATTCTTGATTCATTTAATTTTTGTGACTTAAAAAATTTCTTAGACGCAGCATCGGAATATTAGCCAACCCCGAATATAGATCGAACTTCATTTAACAAGAGAGAATTTCAGGGAAAAAAAATCAATATATATTTGGGCGAAAGCGATATATTAAAAAAAATATATTTTAAATACGAGAATAAGGTACGGCGTGAGAATGAAAATAATTGCATGACAAATATAACTTTTTTTTTTTAAAGTTATGTAACACCATGTACTGTTAATTGTTAAATTATTATTATTGATTGAAATATGTTATATTATAGAGATGAATATGGTGGAGGTCGCCGAAGGCTTCTCTAGAAATAAAGTTAATTTTTAAAATAAAAATAGACAAGGTCATTGGTATACAAATATCCTAATCTACTAAAAAAAAAAGGAATTTAACGAATTATTAATTTTTCTATTCATAGTTACCCGATATCTTCTCTGAAACTTCTGAATAGTTTTGCATATTTCAAGGAAGTTAAAGCTAAATCATAGGAAAATTCCTTTGTCTCAGTATTTTACGTTTCTGTTTAATTTAGGCAAGCCTAATAAATAAGTAAAATTCGTTCAAAAAGTCATTTCGCACTCAGTCAATCATTTAAAAAAAGCTTCGTTTTGATCTGAAAATAAAATAAATAAAATAGCGTAGAATTCGTTGACCGTAAAGTTAATTTAAAGAGAAGTTGGTAGGGGGTGCAACTAATAGTAAAAAAAAACAAAAAAATGAGCGGTACTTATTTGCACTAGCGGATCCAGGATTTAATTTTTTTTTGGGGGAGGGGAGGGCTTCAGCCCAAAAGCTTTCTTTTTCCATAAAAATAACGATAAATTACTTTGGAAAAAAGAAACTAACTACCTTCATGAAATGGTGTTTAAGTGATTCCCAAAGTCCTTTTAAATGTGATTACTCGAAAAATAATACTTTAAGAGATAATTTTTTTATATTTTTTCCATAAAACATAGTTATATTTTACCATTTGGGGGGAGGGGGAGCTTCGGCTCCAAAGTCTTCCCCCCCCCCTGTAGATCCGCCCGTGCTTATTTGGACCTACTTTGTATCTTGTCGTTGGTGCCCGTGATGGACGAGAGGCTAGTTGAGATTAGACAGCCCTAATGAAGACATACAAAATATGGAGAAATGTAAACAAACAAAGAATAAAATAACTTTTCCTTCGTAGCCCTTCAGAGGCATAATGCACACTTACGAAAACATGGCAAAATAATATAAGTAAGACCCAAAGTAAAGAATCCTGATACTTAAGGAAAGAGGAAGGCGTTGGTTGGGGAAGTTGTAATTCCAGAGTGAACCAAGTATAGTGTCAACTCCTGCAATATCAAAATATCTACCGTTTTTCCAAAGAGCAACCTTAATTGAACAACCCGTCATGTACTAGATGAATTTCCTTGAGGTTCTACCTCTCTGCTATTTAACCAAACATCCGATCTACATGTATTAGCATCTCTAAATTGTTTTGAAGGTAAGCCGACAACAAAGCTATTTACACAAGATACTTGAGATTAATCTATTATTCAATAGGTACTTCCTGTCTAAGAAGCGCACCCCCATCTTCACGAATCTATAAACACTCACTAATACAATAACAATATGAGTGAGGCGATTAAACATTAAAAATAACTCCTAATCTACAAAAAAAAATTCAATGATCAGGAAAGAACAATAATTTAACACATTGTGAGGCGATTTCCGTGGCATGGCGATTCTTCTCTGATTAAAAAGTATAGTTCATAATTATTTATCCTGAGTATGAAAATTAACTAAAAAAAGAATAACGGTATAAACGGGAAAATTTTTTTCTCTTTATATTCATTGAAAAATTCCTCAAATTTGAAGTCTCATACCAGTAAATGTTTGAAAGAATAATTAATTGCACCAATATTATTAATTGGTAATTGTAATTACAGTTTTTAAGAAAATTTGACAATATTATGAGTTATAGATAGGACGAAGTCAATTCTTAAGATTTTTATCGCCAACGTTTTCAACCAGCACTGAAGGTATTCAAGTACTGAAGATTTAATACTTGATTAACCCAAACACTAGTTTTAAATATCATAATACACATGATATTAACATTTAATTCGAATATTTCATAATAAAATTAAATTATTTACTTAACTCAAAGCATACAAATTTTCTTTTCTATTAAATAATTAACATATATTTTAGCGCCAGATTAATATTAATATGCACTAATTTTATGTTATGTTATGTACTGGACTAATTTTAATAATGATGATAAAAATTCTAGTAAATATGATATAGTTACTGCGCCATACTGGGTTGGAGAATATTTAACAAATGAAAGAAATCTGGAGTTTCTATAGTACTTTAATAAATCCAAGATGTAGTCGGTTTTTGCAAAAATTTGGTACTTACGTTATTTTTGATGTCACCAAATTTTTAAATGATTCTTGTGAAATTCTATCTTACTTATCGATACAAAACCATAAGAAGTACAAAAAATGAGACAAACCTTTTTGCATGTAAAAAATAGTTAACAGCCCACTTATAGCCTAATGTTCTTATTTCACACAGATAAAAATCATCAAAGGGCTTAGTGATTTAATTTAAAAAAATATTACTTGAAGACATTTTGCAATAAATATACGATACAAAAAATAAATATGTATCAACTAATTTTTTATCATGGGCGTGCAATGATGTAAAAACTAAATTATATAGCAAATATAGAAAGACATAATTATATAGTTATAAAGAAAATCACAACAAACACGAAATAAATCTAGTGATGGTTTCTTTTATTTTTTTTTGTATTTAAATTTTCTCAATAAACTATGGTAAATATAAATGCACAATTATTCTGACTATTCCATTATTCCTTCCTTATCAATAATATTTTATTATTTATTGTCAAATATAAAGAATGGTATGTAAATTATTTTCTACAATACATGGTCTAGAAATAAGGATATAACTATGAAAATTGTATTCGTTTTTCGAATTTTACGTACCCTTAAACGTATAACCTCAAATTTTGAGGGCGGAGGTTAAGTTTTTAATTTTTTTGGTCGATTAAAATGGTTCATTATTGAAAATAAAAAACAAAAACCAGAATTTTCTATTAAAAAATTAAATTAACATGCCACGTAGTTCTTAATTTATGTACTTTTCCTGAGAAAAAAAATGAAGAAGTCAAATATAAAAGATATAATATAAAAATATTATAATATAACATTGTATTATAGCGTATTAATGTTTTTAATAATCAGCTGCTAATTGTTTTCCTAGCTGATTATATAAAACAATATATGATATTCATCCGACATTCGAAAAAAAAATTACAGGAAAAAATTGCAACTAAAGTCTAGTTTTCTATACTTTTAAAATATATGAGATTTATGGTGCATTGTAGAAACTATGCGTGCAAATATGAATAAAATGAAATACTTATTGATGAAGTAAAAGGTTTAGTTCCATAGAAAAATACATTTCTTGTTGAGAGTTTTTCTTGCGTATAAAAATGATCCATATTCATCAGTTTTATGATGATAATTTTATAATTTATTTTTTTTAATTTTTGAAATCACTTGAAAATCGTCAACTTATGCAAACTGTAGAAGAAGTATTTTTCGATAGGAATATATTTGCTTTTTCACCTCTCTTAAATATGAAAAAGCATCTTTTTTTTCTTCTAAAATTAATAAAAGCATCAATGTTTTCCATCAGATCCAGAACTATGACTCACATCGCTATCCTCTTCCTGTGGAACATCATCGCTGAGCGCCATCTGAAGACTGAGGTATCGGGGCCCCCTCTTGGATAGTGGAAGAACACTTAACTGGATTAAAACCGCCCCTTTGCCACCCCCAGTAATATTTATCCCGCCCCCCTCCCCTCCGACCTAATTTCAGGTCACTCAGGCGACCAGATTAAGACGTGACCATCGTCTTAATCTCAGTGTAAATATGTACACAGGAATGATTGTTTCAGTTCCTCGACGTAACTCAAATCTTAATAATAATTATAAATATGTTCCTCATCTTTAAGCATTAAAAATGCGAATTCATAAGATGCCAAGACGAAAAAGGATTATGGATTTTATAAATGGAAGAATAAAATATAATAAAAGAGCTTAGCTTTAAATAATGGTCTTTAAAAAAAAAAAACATGTTTTTTTTAGTTGTCAAATCTCAAATCAACTATAATTTTAAACAACAGTGTTCAATCAAGTGACCGATCATATTTAAATATAAGAAAAAATAGATTGAAGAAGTGGATCTTCGACAAATTGATAATACTTAAACATCAAATAATAATCTGATCAGAGATAACTTAAGAAAGAAGTGGATGGAAAGAAAGTTCTTGTGGTGGAGAGAGAAAGAATATATAGTATCGCCAAGACGTATCGCACCCCATATGTAGTCGCCTCAAAAGGCTTCTCTTTCCTTCATTCTTTTATGGTGATTATGTTAAGTTATGCATTTGCATAATAGAAATGTAAATATTTCTAAAATTCAAGTATTGACAGGCGATAAATACTTTCAAACATACGAAAGATTAGGGACAGCGGCAAGTTTAAAATAGAGAACGTTCAAAGAAAAGCTTCTCCAATTTGAAGTGGGGCGGGTGAATAGACTGTGCAAGCTAGGAAAAGATACGAAAGTAGAGTAAATGCTTGTTAAAATGACATTTTAAAAATAACAAAAAAAAAACAAAAAACAGGAGGTAGATGAGAAGAGCTTTAGAGAAAGAGAAAACGAAGGAGAGAAATCTAAGACGAAGGAGTATCTCGAGAATCATTTAAGAACATATATTTGATGGAAATAGTCAGACAAAGAGGTGAAGTCTAAATTATTAAGCAGGTTAATCAGCACAACCCTAAGCTATATAGTCATTTTAAATGACATTGTAAATTGAGTGGCAGGACTAACTTCAAATTAGAATCTGAATTAAGTTTAATACATACATAACAAATTATAATGAAGAGAAGAATGGTTGGGGTGCTCAGTCAAAAAAGGAAGGCAAAAAATAAATTATAATATTTATTTTTTACATATGCCGACGTTTCGACCTGAAGTTCAGGCCATCATCAGGACTTTCTCCTTAAGTGTCAAGGTGAGAATGAGAATTGATTCTCACCTTGACACTTAAGGAGAAAGCCCTGATGATGGCCTGAACTTCAGGTCGAAACGTCGGCATATGTAAAAAATAAATATTATAATTTATTTTTTGCCTTCCTTTTTTGACTGAGCACCCCAACCATTCTTCTCTTCATTATCCACGACAGTCAACCAATTACCAATTATAACAAATTATAATGTTGCTTAAATAATGCAATAAATCGCTATGTCTACATTTAATCTGGATACTCACGAATTGATATGAATGCATCGACTCAAGACACAAAAGCAATAATCAACAGATAATGCAATCAAGTACCATATTATTTTATAGCGCTAGTTTATTAATTTACCTATTTTGTGTATTTTAACATCTAAACCAATGGCTTTCTGTTATTACTTTTGTTATCTTATTATATTATTGTTTTATTTGTTTATCTTTATTTATCCAGGTTATACTTTTTTGTCTCTCTGTGTACCGATATGTGTATGTATGTATATATAGTTCTTTTTTTTCTAGTACACTACAAGTAATCCTGAGATTTTATTTTGATTTATCTTAGTGTTTGCATATTGTTATATAAATCAATGTAGATATTATTACATTTTGTATTAAGTTATTTTTTTATTAGCTAGCCAATTAATTGTTTATAAATTGTGTAGTTATGTATATATAAATATGCAATTTCTTTTTTTTTTTTCATCACAATAATAAATATTTTCAGAAGATCTTACGTTCATTTAGTTTTTTTGTTTGTTTATCTTTTAGTGGTTACATACTATTTTTTAAATAATGTAAATAATTTTAGAATTTTTATAAGTTAGTTTTTGGCCGGATTTGTATTTTCTTTTGTATTAATTCATCATTGTTATTCTAAGAGGACTATCTAAACTTCAATATTCTATTCTACCAATGACTGAACTTCAGATAGGTTTTGCTATTCAATTAGACATGCTATAAATTCTGAATATACCAAGCAGATGATTAAGAGACAATTTTAGGCAAAATTCCATTGCCAACAACTTTTTAAAAATGTTCTTAGGAAAAAAGTTCTATTTAAACAGTTTCTGTAAAACCTTTTTAGGATGAAAGTTCTAAGAAACGTTTTTGTATAAAGTTACAGATTTTAGTGAACGTTTAACTTTTATTTATTCGAGTTCTTGAAAAACTTGCGTTAGACGAAAAATAAACAGTAGTTGGGCTCAGATTAGAGTTATAATTCGTCTTAAATGAACCGCACATGATTCTAATGTGTCATTTGATTTGAGTACGTATAAATAAAAGTCATTTTTTAGACCGACTTTTTAGTTATTTTCAGCAAGGTACAATAAATACTTCTCTCTAATATAAAATATTGAAAGTTTGAATACGGATTAAAGATTTTTAGACGTAAAGTTGAACATTTTTCCAACACTGTCATCACCACCTATGCCGATGACACGTGTATCCTATCAGTTAATAACGATCCTTTAATTGCATCCCAAACTCTTCAATCACATATCACAAGCCTTGAAGAGTGGTGTAAAAATTGGAGAATAAAAATAAATTCCAACAAATCCCATAAAATCACCTTTACCCTCCATCGTAAACCTATGACCTCTTGTCCTACAGTATCCTTCAATAATACTCCACTTATTCCTGTTGAGCAAATCCGCTACTTAGGACTTTACCTTGACAAACGACTCACTTGGAACCCCCATACCAGACTGAAACGACTAGAAACCGCCCGACGTTTTCGACTACTGTAGCACTTACTAGACAAACGATCTAATCTTTCAATCAATTATAAACGACTCGTATATATGACAATAATAAGACCTATTTGGACTTACGGAATTGAGCTTTGGGGCTCCACTAAACCATCGAATTCCTCTCGTATCCAATCCTTACAATCCAAAATCCTTCGTAAAATCCTCAACGCTCCTTACTTTGTCACAAATAAAATCATCCATAAAGACCTTAATGTTCCATATGTTTCCGATCTGGCCCAATCCAGATAAATTTCCTTCCATAACAAACTGCAGAACATCCGAATCCTCTCGTTTCAAACCTTGCTTCCTCCTCGATCCCTGATAACCCTCCGAGGCGTCTGAAAAGAAGATGGCCTCGGGATCTTCTAATATAGAACTTCAATTTGAGTCTACCAATGGGTAGTTTCTCTTCATGTTGTATGTTGTATGTACATGCCATGTTACCAATTTCTCATTTACTTATTGTATTCTGTATGTAATACAGTTGTAAATTCCATTAAAATAATAAAAAATAATAAAAAAAAAAAAAAAAAAAGTTGAACATTTTAAATAAATTTTTCCATAATATTTATCAAATATTACACCTAATGAATGTTAAATGCTTATATATCTGAGTAAATACCGCAATGGAGACAGAGAGAGATGTAGAAGACAAGAGATGAATGGGAAGTGAACTAGGCATGTTACAGGAGGACAGCTGAATGAGGAGCGCTATCAGAGCCGAGGGAACACAGGGGCTCCGATATTCTCCTGTCAACCCTTCTGTCATTGATAACCTTTACTCATTTCGTCCCTCTTCAGCCAGCCATTTCTGCCCGAAATAGGGCTCATATTCCAGATTTTGGAAGCCCTAAACGTCTGCATCAACAACAGCTATAAAAACGAATTTGTCATACTTAAAAGAGAAAAGATCCCAATAGAATGTTGAAACACCTCTGTGACATAAAACAACGTCAGTAAATAAAATCTACAGGTATCTAAAAATGTTTCAAAAATCCGTCGTTTATATTGGCAAACTGTCTGAAATACCTTCAACGCTCATAAAAATGTATATTTATTTATTTACCTGCTATGTAATCGATTCCATGTAAACTATTTGTATTAAGACGATTAAAAATTATTACATCCATGAATAATATTATTATCCACGTTATTTTAGGCTGGAAGTTGGAGGGAGTTAGGAATTAGAGGAAAAATACAAGTATCAATTTTATCATATTCCATACCCTATAAAAGATACAGCTTATCAAATTTTGTACGCAATTTGCCCACGTTCCCATGAAAACAAATCCCCTCTTTATACAACTCCCGAATACTTGTTTAAAATACAAAAAATGTTGATCGGTCTTAATATTAATTAACATTAGTGAAATATTGGTAAAATATATAAAAAGGTAAATAGAAGTATATTTTACCATATTAGACCATCCTTCATAAAGTGTTTTTTCATGGACTTATAATGCATGTTATAATTTCTTGAGCATATTTTCTCGCTGATCACAGTTACATTTTAATGCATTTTACACATTTTATTTTCCCTAAAGTTAATACTACTTATGGTTATCTCAACTCTAGAGATAAAACTCAAGTATATCTTCAGATATTTTTCAAAAATTAATAATTAATTTAGACGTCAGGGTATTTTACGTTTTCTATACATGTATTGGAGCAGAGAACTTGCACCGTGTAACTTCATCAAATTGGTATCATTGTGAAATTATGACAACTTTAACCAAGATGAAGGTTGTCCGGAAAAAAAAATATCAAATGATTCCTTACTAGGTATTTAATCAATATTGACATTTCTACTCACATTGTTGGTCTTCATCAGGGTCGAAGGAAGATAGAAAGTAGATCAAACTATGATATGACTAAAAAAGTATATAATATTCCTACAATACTGTCAACTTTTTTTTTTGTATCTTTATTGCAAACCCTGATGAAATGTACTATAAATCGAAGCGTCAGTATTCAATGTATAACAGTATGTATATAGGAATGTATAGCATTTGTTTGTTTATTTCTTTTTTTCTACTAACTCCCGGACCACCTCCTTGATTTATCATAGAGTCGATCATAGATCCAATGCTAGCTCAATGCTGGATCATAGATCCAATGATTGGCTCCTGCCAATGCTGGATATAGAGCGTTAGGTTTGCAATATAATAAAAAGCTATATTAAAAGCTATATTACTCACGGTGGATCGCCGGCTTGGGCAGAGGGGTCGAGTGGATCATGGTCCTGAGAGGCGGACTGCTTGGCTCGCCCATGATCCTCCGAAGACTCCCTCACGGGATCAGGCCGCTTCTCCCGACCGCTCCCACTCCGCTCTCCTGCAAAAAATAATGTTAAATTAATTCAACAATAGTCAACTATTACATTAAATAAATAGTTTACACTTGCTAGAGTGTAATTATTATCATCATTAATATATGATGGTCAAGGACAGGATGGAGTTCTTTACGGACCATACACCGTCGGATTTAAAAATGTAATTTAAAAATTGGTCGTTATAACTAATTAATTATTACATTTAATCAATAATAGGATCAAAGAAATAAAAGGTTTATCTCATTATGGGTATTAGATTGAATACTTTATTGAATGATAATACAATCTGCCACTTTTGGAGGACAATAAGTGTAAAGGTTGAAAGTTCTCTTTACTTCAATATTAGAGAAATAACTATAAATATTTAAATAAATAAATAATAATAATAATAATCAGTGGACCCCATGAAGGAATTAGGCCTTTCGATGAACTGTTTGGAGGTGATGCAGAAAGCGGTGCTGCTTGGAACAGCTAGTATTGTTCGTAAATTTATGAATGTAAAAGATTAATTTGTTTAGCCTAACCTTGCCTTAACTCCGGGTAATGTGCTGTTACCAGCAAATATTGTGAAACAAGGGATTTCCCTAAATAATAATTGCAGTGGTAACGCAAATCGTGAAATCAACAAATGGACTGATTCCAAAGACAACAGTGGCTGGTATCGATGGTTTAGATTTGTCCCTTGGTGTGCTAAGAGAGGCTCAGCAAGCAGAGACTCTTTTGGATACAACCAGAATAGTAAAAAAAAAAAATTAAATGTTTGGAAAAAAAATATATATATTTTTATTTTAAGGCGGTTGGGGACTTGTACCCCGCCTGCAGCTTCAAATCCGAAAAATAAAGAAAATAATAATAATATATGAGAGAATAAAAAAGCAGAGCTTATTGATGTCTGGATCCCCACCGTTGGAGAAAATATCAAGAGCTAGCAATAGAATTGAAGTTTTTATATAATTTGGAGAGCGTCACCACCACTTCGAATATAATATCCTCCAATGGACTGATACCGAAGTCAACAGTGGCAGGCACGATGGGATAAAATTACCTCTTGAAGTGCTGAAAGATTCTCAACACTCAGTTCTCGTAGACATAGTACATATTGTCAGACATTGTTAAACATTTAAAAAAATAATAATATGAAGATGGCTAGACTTCTGTTTCCCACCTCAGAAACTCATCCCACAAAGCGAGAATACAAACCAGAAAATAATAAGAAACGTAAATAAATAAGAAAAAAAAATCATTAAAGACATTTATACCTATGCACAATATTTACATTCTCCCAGGAAACTCCGAGCCAAGTTTTGCCCTCTACATGTGGAAGGCAAAACAGGACTCCAGGAGATCCCAATGCCACTTTTCCAACCACGCCACTGGTATTGGAAGCCAGTGGAGACTGAAAGAAAGAACTTGAGAACGTTCAAGATATAACAGGCATAAAAATATATTACTGAGAGTATAGAAGCCTCATGATTATTAAAAATATCAAAAGGTTTTTTTCTACGTTATCTGAAGTGTCAAAAATATAAATCTACTCTCCCCATCTAACTTTTCAAAAGATTTTTATTTAATTCGTCGACATATAATCATTTTAATTTTTAAACTCTAAACATTTGATAAGTACCACATGGCAACCGCACCTGAGAGTTTTTCAGCAAAAATTACAATTTATCACTTATGGGCTATTTCTTGACTTTAAAACGTTATGTCCGGAATAGTTCGGGTGGAACTATGCCGTGTCATGCCATTACTTCTCCTATTTTTAAAAATACAAGTATGCCTTTTCACAATATATATATGCATAAAACTTTGCGCATGTTTACGATTGAGACATAAAATAGTTTCACAGTGATGGATACATACTAAGAAGTTTTTCTACCAGCGTGAAATGGTATCAGCATCTTATCCGATAAATGGGCTTGCAGATGTACAAGACCAGATGAGTGAGCATTCACATGTGCACACTACCAGATGCTGTCAGCGATTTTGTTTCCTGTTTTTACTTGACTTAATCTCTTGTTAATTACTTCAGGAAAGAATAAAAAAATATGCATAAAATATTTTCACAACTACATCTTAGGCATTCACAAGACTATGCATAAACAACAAAATCTATGAACTGTAAATTTAAATCGATACCCCTAGTATATCTCATTTCGAAAAAAAAAAGATTACATTTATAAATATTCAGGACGTTGTTATTAGAAGGATTTTATTGGTACCGACGTTTCAATCCAAACATGTGGGTGATCCATCATCAGGGCTTGTTTCGAGCACTGAAGGTATTCAAGTACCTTAAACATTCACAAGGCAAGTACCTTAAACCTTAAGTAAACCTCGGCACCACATATAATCTTTATAATGACAAAGTCCTGAATACATATCACCCATGATATGTAGAGCAGTCGACTAACTTCCTTCAATATTTATTTGATTAAATTTTGAGACTTTCTTTCTGTAGTCCGACAAATTACGTCCTTTATAATATTTTTCATAATTTACTTAGATGAACATATTTGCAAATATTTAAAGCAATAAACTTATTGGTAAAGTACTGTTTTTTTATTTCATTGAAAAATAATACATAATATTGAACATTACATTTATTTTTTTCTTCCAACGAATATTTCTTGCAAACTTCTTAAATTGTAGGGTTACTTAAGTGAAATATTTAAAAAACTATTAAGTAAATTTTATGTAAAACATGGTGCTCAACTTTTAAGAACCTGGTTGTGAATTTTGACCTTATTTACCAATAAAAAAACGGGTCGAAAAAAATGAAACATACACTATTAGATACTATCAAAGAAGCTATAGGATTTGTTTTACTCATTCCGAATTTTTTTTTTTAGGAGTGTATATTATCATCTGATTTTTTCCCATAACTTCCAAAAAGACACTTAAAGAAAGAAACCAAAAACTCCGTGAATGACTTCATCTTATTGTAAAATACAAGTTTTTTAAGTTACGAAAATTCTGACGAGAGATAGGATGATGTTTTCAAATTGTAGATCGGTAAACGTTGTCAATATAATTAGGTAACAACTGAACAATCATTTGCTTTCCACTTGAATCGTAAGTTAAAAAGGTGGGCTACGAAAATATTGGGCCGTTAGGCGAGACCTTCACCCCCGTCATGTCAAATTGTAACCCAGTTATTATAGTCCAAACGGCCGGATTTTTTTTTAGGCCATCTTTTCTCCAGATTTTGTGATCAAATTATCTGACGATTCAATTGGAAAGCAGATGGATATTCTTCATAAGTTTTTAGTACCTCAGTAAATTAGATAATTTAATGAAAAAAATACCTCATTTCAGAGAATATTTAGACGGATCTTAATAAATTGATAAAAAGAGGTCTGTATCAAAGACTATTTCATTTACGTTAGGTTGACAGCAATAGTTGACAATGTCATATATTATTTCTAAAAGGTGTGTTTTTTTTCGGTACGCCTTAATTGACCATTGATTGCCGGGATTCAAACCTGGGATCTTCAGCATTGGAAGCTTAGTGAACTACCACTGAGCTACCCAGCTCTTCAAATATTTCTAAATGGAGTTAAAAAAAATCACAGAAAAAATGGAGAATAATGTATGCTAATTATAATATCAAAACTAATATTTTTTTAATACATAATTTTTTCAGTTATTTATTTATTCACGATATTTACAACTGTATTAAAATAAAAATATATCTAGTAAATGAGCGCACAGGAATATAATCACACGAAAACGCTTGTTGAGAAACTAGCCACTGGAAGCACTTTATCTTCTTTTCAGACGCCTCGAAGGGTTATCAGGGATCCAGGAGGAAGCTAGTTTTGAAACGAGAGGGTTCGGATGGTTCTGAAGTTTGTTATGGAAGGACAGGTATCTGAATTGGGCCAAATAAGAAACATATGGATGAATTTATTTGTGACAATGTAAGGAGGATTGAGGATTTTATGAAGGGTTTTGGATTGTGAGGACTGTATACGAGAAGAATTCAATGGTTTATTTATGATTGACCACTCATTTTGAAGATATTCTCCTCCTTCACATGTGAAAAATAGTAGTTCCCTCTCTCCCCCTCCCTCCAAAATTCCTGAGAAAAAAGTTATGAAGGAAAAGACACTTTATTTACGAATAATTAAAAAAAGTATGATTTTTTTCTTGATAGTTTTCATGATTATTAGAAAGATTCCTAAATTACCAACAAAACAAAAAAAAAATCGTAAAAATCGATTACAAATTTGTAAAATTAAAACAATTTGTACCGACCAAAGGAGCAAAGGATGTGCAAATATATTTTTTTAAGGAGAAACATAGTTCAGATTTGTATTTCGCAGCTCGAAAGACCCTAGAATAAAACATTTCATAGCGATCGAAAATAACGTGATCATTTCAATATGTTTCCTTCCGCCTGTCCATAACCCAAACAGTATGCATTTTTTTTCTTTATAGTACCCATGATTATTAGAAAGATAACTAAATTACCTAAACAAAAAAAAAACACGTGAAAATCGGACAATTATTGACAAAGATACAGTCCATTAATTTTGGTATACCTTATAATTTATCCATCTTTAATGGTACTGCATTTATAATTCTGCTACACTTTTTTTCTTGGCTGATATATTAACTTTATTATATATGTTTTTTTTTTATTATTGAAATTTACAACTCTATATAAATACAACAAGTAAATGTGATATTGGTAACATGGCATGTACAACATGAAGAGAAACTACCCATTGGTAGAACTCAAATTAAAGTTCTATATTAGAAGGTCCCGTGCCATCTTCTTTTCAGAGGCCTCGGAGGGTTATCAGGGATCGAGAAGGAAGCAAAGTTTGAAACGAGAGGGTTCGGATGGTTCTGCAGTTCGTTCTGGAAGGTATCTGGATTGGGCCAAATCAGAAACATATGGAACATTAAGGTCTTTATGGATGATTTTATTTGTGACAAAGTAAGGAGCGTTGAGGATTTTACGAAGGATTTTGGATTGTAGGGATTGGTTACG